CTCTGAGGGGCTTGGAGTGTCCGCAGGAGCCCTCTGGGAGGGTTCCAGCCCCAGGCGCCTCGAAAGGGAACAGTGAAGAAAGATGAGACATCATTGCTCATATCCACATGATGTAAGACTTGCCTTGTGTGAGTTTCCAGGTCTTTTCCCTTCTCCCTGACTTCTGACCTTTAAGATATCTCCCGGTCTCTTTCTTTCATAACTTCCTGTCCCCACTGCCAGTTCCTGAAGAGTGCAAGCAGCCTGGCTCCTTAGTTCCAGGCAGTCTCACCCCAGCACACCCCCTCCCGTGCACCCTACCCCCTTCCAAGGGTAGATTTACTACCTCTGAGGCTCTCTGTAGGTGCAGAGTATGTATATGTATATGTATATATATATATATATATATATATGTATTTTTATTTTGTAATACACGAGGGACGTTCACCTCAGCTCATTTGTAAATAAAGTCCCCTGTGGCTCCCTTTGTAAATGCTGTCAGTGCCTGTGTCTGATGGGGTGGGAACGGTGCCTTCCGCTTGCTGTGGCTGGAAAGAGACTTGTCCAGCAGTTGAGCGGGGAGGAAGAGGTGTGCAGAGGAGGCCTGGCCGCAGGGTTCGTGTTTGTGCGCTCAGCAGGGGCAAGGAGGGTGATGGCAGCAGTCTCCCCTCCTTAGATCCTGGTTGGGTGATAATGAGTCAACACCAGCCCGCTGTCTACTCCTGACCCCCAAAGTCAGACTTCCTCTGAAAAGGGTGAGGTTTTGGCTAAGGGCCCCACTGCCATGGGGGCAGGCTGTCCTGTTCTGATGTTCCCCAACCCGGCCCAGCCCCACCCAGTCTTACTAGCCCAGAGTGTGATCTGTCCCCCAGAAGAGCTCTGGGGGGAGCAAGGGGCAGGAGCTATGTTTGTTTTTTTTAAGATTTTTTTTTATTGGGGAATTGGGGGATGGGAACAGCGCTGGGGAATTGGGGGAAGGGGACCAGACAAGTTGCTGTCCTTTTGTTCTTCAGTCTAGTTGTGGAGGACGTTGCTTCACTGGCCCAAGTTGGCACCATCATTGCGCTCTTCCCGGGGCGAGGCAGATCAGTCGCCCGCTTCTGGACGGCCGCTCACGGCGGCTGCTGGCCGCTCACGCTGGCTGCTGGCTACACACGGTAGCCCATGGCAACCCACTGCAGCAGGGGCTACAGCCTACCCCGTCGCCAGTGACTCACGGCAGCCCAGCTCCAGGTTGAACTATTGTTCAGCATCTTAGCTGTGGAGGACAGTGTCACTGGCCCTCATATGTGGGATCCGAACCGGGGCCCTCCGGCGTCCTAAGCCAGCTCTTAACCAACGCGCCACTCGGCCGGCCCCAGGAGCTATGTTTAACCCTGTCTTTTGCCTGCTTCACACATCTCCAAGCCCGATTTCTTCAGGACTGACCTGAAAGGGGGGACCCTGAGCCACACACCTAGGAATTGCAGCCTGCCTCAGCCAGACTCTGCTTTCCCGGGAGCCACATGGGGAAGGGAAGTAGAGGTGATGAGAATGGGGAAGCCTTGGGAGGGGAGCTGGAGCCTGGCTGGCTGTCTACACTTCCCTGGGCCTGGTAGAGGCACCTGGGAAACACATGTGCATCCTGAGCTGAGGGCACAGAGAGGTGTGCCTCGAATGTGTGGTGTGAGTGGCCCCTCTAGTCACCGCATCTCAGCCGCTCCCTACCTGTGAGCTCAGCCTCTTCAGCCATGTGCTGAGACAAGCTGAGACGAGACTGCTCCCTGCCAGATCACAGGCCGAGCTGGATGAGGGGGAGAAGTACAGAGCCTGGAATTGGAGTTGTGACTCAAGTAGTCACCTGGACTCAGCCTCCTAATCTGTACAAGGCACTTCTTAATTCTATCTTTGTGGGCACCTGTGAGTGTGGATGGATGGGCTAGAGTTCACGGAAGATGGTATACTGCCCGGTCCTGTGCAGATATACAGCGCTCCTTGCTGCAGGCCACTGTCTGCCTGTGTCTGGCCTAAGGCTACCCACCCAACCCCACACCCTCTCCTCTCCTGGTGCGAGCGGCCCCTCTGCCTTCCGTCTTCCCCACGAGGCCGTGGCTCCACGAGGGCAGGACACGCCTGCCTTGTTCACTGCCGTTTCCCTAGCACTTAGCCCAGTGTCTGCACAGCGTCCGTGCAAGATAAACACATGCTTAAGGAATGAATGTTGATGAGCCAGAGGACTGCCCCTTTCCTCCGGGCACCTTCCCTTCTCCTCCCTCTGCCCTTGACCACTGTTCAACTCCCCGGCTCCCACAACCCCTGGCCAGGCACCAGTTGGACTCAAGAAAGAGGAAGGACATTTACTGGAGATAAACACTTTTATTATCATGAAGTTTGGCTACAATGAGAAAGTTGGGGCAAAGGTGGAGAGTGAACAGTTGAGCTTCCCTCTCACACACCCCATCACAATCTCCCTGCATCTTTTCCCGCCCACATTCCCCATCAAGCAAGGCAGATAAAGGACCATCTGCCCAATCTGCCCAGCCCTTAAAGGAGTCAGAACCCTGACTCTGGCAGGGGTGGGGAAGGCGTCACCAGCCTATGGGTGTCTCTATAAGGCATCCAGAAAAATGAGATGTCAGTGATGCCTGGGCTCCCCATGGGTGTCAAAACGTCCGAAAAAAATCACCTTAGAAAAATTAGATTCCCCAACAAATTTGTGGGACCCCAGGGTCAAACCTCCCAGCTCTGGCTGCCCCTGCTGGGTTTCATGCCCGGGAGGAGGGCATGTGAGGGGAAGCAAGGACTGGCTGAGCTGGCACGTGCTGCCAAGCTGACACCAGAGCGAAGGAGAGAGGCGAAGACCCAGCTGGGGAACACTGCTGTTTAAATATTAAACAGGGCTGTCGCGTCTCCCACGTGGGAGACTTCCTGATGCTTCCAAGGGCCCCAAGGTGGGTACCCTCGGGGTCGGCGGTTCACTGCATCTCTTCCCAGTGCCCACCAGTTACAGGAATTAATACTTGGTATTTACCTATCTACCTCCCAGTCCAGGGGACGGGGAGACAGCAGCTTCTCTCCTTGCTACAGGCAGGAGAATGAAACTTGGAGGTGGAGGGAAGGACCCAGGAGTCTGGGGCTCCTTTCCACTCTTCCCTGTCTTTAAATAATAGGTTTAAATAAGCATAAATATTAAATAGAGATAAATACATGGGATAGGGAGGGTTTTGCTCAGTGTTCAGCAAGGTAGCGCAGAACACGGTACGCCAGCTCCAGGGAGCTCTGTAAGTTGGAGGCGACCAGGACACCTGCCGCCCGGCGCTGGAAGGCTGAGGTGAAGACAGGCATGGTGCCTTGGGTGGCCCGCACAGCAGGAGCCACCCCCAGGTCTTCCATCTGTGGGGGGAAAGACCAATGATCAGGCCCTGCTAAGTGGGCGTTATCACAGATGAGGAAATGCAATGGGCTAATGGGCTGTAGAAGATCACATGGTTAACAGAGCTAGGACTTGAACCCAGGCCTGTTTTGAGGTCCAGTGATCTGGTTCCTGCCCTCAACTAGGGGGATTAGGGGAGGCCCAGCAGCAGAAGGGTCCTGCATACAGCCCCCACCCCGCCCCTGAGAATGCTCCCACCAACCCCTAAAGAACTTCCGGGGCCCCCAGGCTTGCAGCAGGACCTTTAGGGACCCACTTGGTCTAGGCCCCTAATACTTGCCACTCCCAATGAGGCTCACCTGCTGCCAGATGTTGGTGGCAAGGTCGGTGATGTCCAGCTGCAGCGTATCCAGGGTGGGGGCTAACTCCGGGGAGATCCCTGCCAGGGCCTGCAGGAGGCCCTGGTAGAGGGAGAGGCCACTGTGGAGTTGTCTCAGGCAGCCTGTCTGGGGAACAGAATAGAGGAGTTAGGGGTACTGCCTGCGACGCTCCTCTCAGGGCTGCAGCTTGGAGCCTGGAGGTCTGGGGAGCCTTCCAGGTCATCCCTTCCCCTAAACGCCCTCCTCCCCTCCAGACACTCACCAGCTGCAGGGCTTGGCTGGAGCAGCTGCTGAGGGGAGCCTGGGGGATGCCCAGAGAGTGCCCAAGCAGCACCAGCTCCTCGGGGTGGCACAGCTTGTGGATGTCACACTGGGGACAGGGAAGAATGCTGAGTGCAGGGTACTCGAAAGGGCCAGGAGGCTCCTCCCCATCTCTCCGAGGTCTTCCCCTCCCTCCATGTCCTGCCAGGCTTCTCAGCCCCATTCCTGCCTCTACGTCCGTCCATCCCAGCCAGCCAGCCCCTCCCAGCACTGTCCCCAAGAGGTTCCCTTCCCCCAGTGGCTTCCCAGCCTCCCACTGCTCCGCTTCTCCTAACCGTCTTTCTTCCATTTCCCTGTGTCACTCCTCTCCTAGGTCCCTTCCTGATGATGTCTTCCCCACGCTTCCCTTCCCCTCCCTCAGCTCTCTCCTCTGAGTCCTCTTTCCTCTACATGCCCACCCCCTCCCGCAGCACCTGTACCCTGTCTCTCTGCCTGCCTCTGTCACTCACCAGCCGCTCCTGCAGCACCACATCATCAGCCTGGATCTTCCTCACTTGCTCCAAGCACTTGAGCAGGAAGCTCTGGGGCAGGTTGCTGGCAGGGCCCAGCGGGGTGGCTTCTTGCACTGTCCAGAGTGCACTGTGCCAGAGCAGCAGCTGCAGGGCTGGGAGCAGATGGCAGCTCAGGAGACATGCTGTCCACTCCCCGCTGGGTTCTTTTCTGGGGGCTTAGGGACCCCCAGCCTCTTGGCCACTCCAGCTTCCCTCCCATGCCTGGGCAGGCAGTTCCCCCATCCTGGGTCAAGACACTCACCTATCAGCTTCATGGGGCTCTGGGCAGCAGGCTCGGCTGAGGGTCTGGGTGGGTCTGCAGGCTCAGGACTGTGTCAGGGACCAGCTCCGGAGGGCCTTTATAAATAAGCCCATGGAGTCCTGGGAGGAAATTACCTGGTGCTGAGACTAAGGCTTAGTAATAACTTCCCAGGATTTATGCAAATTTGTCGACCAGGACAATGCAGGGGGGGTGAGACAAAAAGCTGTTTGGGAAAGTTTTGTGAAATTGTGGAATCTCTGATCCTTGACGTCTTGCCCCCCTCAGGCTCCCTTCCTCCCCTAAGCCCCACCCAGGCCTGAATTGCCACAGGGTGTTTGAACAAAACCGCTGAACAAAGGCTGAGCCACTGATAAAGCCCTGGAGGCTGGAGTCTTGTCAGACTGATCTGGGAAAGGCAGGCCTCCAGGCGGCCCCTCCTTCCCTCCCCTGGCAGATCTGTGGGGCAGCCC